TCGGACACCGGACTGGTTTCATGAAGTTGGCGCTTGAGGCTGCTCCAGACTGCCCCTTTTGCGTACATGCCGGTTTTGATCGACAAAACGGCTGACGGGGGATTAGTGGTCCAGTACTAATAGCCAAATGAGAACAGGCGTGTGTGCGCCCTCCACTCGTCCGTCAAAATAACGCTTCCCATGTCGCCAAATTTGTTATCAAGGGGTGCCGTACAGAGAGCCTTCCTCCTTTTACATTCCTACATTCCGCTGCCTCTCAATGTAGACCTCCATGATCGGGCCGCAAACTTGCCTCACGCACCCGTACCAGTGTTTTGGTCTGCACATTGCTGCAAGACGTTTGTTTTGAAGTACATATAACCGCCGTTTTCAACCATTTGCCGACCGTAACCTACAGCCTTTGTGCGCAATTTGTTTTCCTTCCGTTAGTATTCATGCTGCTTCTCGCAGCACCATATCAGTCGGGGTGATTTTCAAGCCTTTTGATATGAAGTTAGATGGCTTTTCAAATTGAGCCGCAATCTTTTCCTTCCTCCATTCGTATGTAAATTTTCTAATCTATATCTCGGTTGGCCTACTTCGCCCATTATAAGCCAATTTTTATCTCTCTTTGTTTAATTGAACTACAATGACGTCATCAGTGCACGAAGCTAGCGCCGTCCCTGCTGCCACCATGTTGTAGTGATCGTGGTCAACATCGTCTGAACTGACGCTCAAACTTCTACTATACCAGGAACCCTGGGGGAAGAGCTTGTGTGCGCGGTGCGTGAGCACACAGTTGTCCAGCTAAACTGCGCAGTATTTGTACGCAGCGCATTGCAGTGCGTTCCGCTAGCCATTTGATGTTGGGCAGCCACTGGCGCAGGGTGTGTATATGCAATTCGCGCTGGGCCAACCTGCCATTCAAAGCCCTGCTGCCTTCAAAAACGATTGCTTGAGCGGACTTTTCGAATTGGGCGGCCATTTTTTCCTTCCTCCATTCGCGTGTAAATTTTCTAATGAATATGTCGGTTGGCCTACTTCGCCCATTATAAAATGATTTTTTTTCCCTCATTTTTTATTTGAACAACAATGACGTCATGCGTTTTTGAGGTCACGACACTAGCGTTCTTTCGAAGGCAGTCCAATTTGGCCTATATTTGACGAATATTCCAAGGAAATTTATCCACGACGTCGAAAATTGCAGTCATTGGCGAGTATGGGTTACTTTTGATTCCCCGGTGTTGTGAGTTTCTGCACCTAATTTTTACATATTGGAGAATGTTTTTGCTGAAAGTTTTGGAATGATATTTTTAAAATAAAGCGTATCTCTCTCTCATATGACTTCCACTTGGGGCCTTGTGATTGGTTGGCGTTCGACCTGTTCAGGTTACTTGTCTTCGGATGTCAATCGAAGTTCTTCTTTAGGCCAGCCCGCTGCCATTAGCTGGCGTTACTTTTTCTTTTACCTCGCAGTACCTGCCTCAATATATAATCTGCTTATTTAAACAAAACAGAAAACTAAGGATTAAAAATCATTATTCGCTGTTGTCTCTGGGTATTTTACAATCTTACGATAAGCTTCACCAACGAAACCCCCATTAACAGAGTTCCCGTATCTTAGTAATGTTCTTTAACGTTTTCTCCCTAGTGAAGCTAATTAGGTCTCCGCCAAATATACAAACTTGAAGCAGCAGGCAGGCAGAGTGACGTTTTGGTGCTTTCAGGGACTTTTTCTTGCACGTCTTTGCATCAGGAATCCAGGTCTAATGCATCTTAAGCTGAAGCTGTGCCGCGTTACAGGGAAGCGGGCATTTAATTTATCAGTCTCTTGGGCGACAGATGTTTTCATTGCGTCACTATTAAGAAAAATACCCGTGCTTTAAGTTATCGGTAGTTACAAATGCTTACCTTTGCTGAAGAGAACGCAAAAGGATGGTCTTCCAAAGAGCGCCCTTTTTTTCTAATAAATCTAAACAACACTTTACGATTTACTCATTTTATGTGAGTAGTTATTCTGCCGGTTTCTAAATTTTGAGTTCACATAGACACCTGTTGCATCCTTTAAGGGTTCTCCACGTCCTACCTGCGTGATACCACTTAGCCGCTTACCTAAACAGCCCTCAAACTCCAGTGTGGAGACCCCTGAAAAGGAGGATCCGGATTGTCCTGAGGT